AGCAGATTTTGCTAAGGTCCAAAGAATCACAAGCATAGCGCAAATTCTGCGGAAATGGCACGGCCATCGTCTAATCTCCTTAAAAAGGATATAGAATGGTGATGAAACACCGAGCATCGGGAGGCTCTGACAGGCTCAAAGACAGCCTCCTTCATGCACCAATACTGGCGTAGCCAGACCCCGATCGTCGTCTGTGACGTTTCGAACTTTGTCATCGGCTGTGCAATGCTGCAAGCAGACGCCGAGGGGGAGATCGGGTGATCACGTTCGAATCCCGTCAGCTTAAGGCTGCGGAGAGGGACTACCCAGTCGATGACAAGGAACTACTTGCGATGAAGTATGCACTTGTCAAGGTCAGGGTGCACCTGCTCGCCGCAAAACCGTTTGTGTTATCTACACAGATCATGCATCATTACGCACTGCGACTCAGTTGCCTAACCTCTCACACAGAATAATCAGGTTGCTCTCATTCATTGCAAAATAAAAGTTTGAGGTGATGTATCAGCCAGAAAGCAGAATGCTTTGGCTGATGCGTTGTCACGCAGACCGGATTATGAGCTTGCTCATGTCACGACGGTGACGTCGTCAGTGTCTGATTTGATCCGCGCCGCATACGCGGGTGACAGTATATGAGTAGCGCTGCTACAGGCATTTAGGAGCCAAAAGGTTGAAAACATGGTAAAGAAATTGTCGGCGCGTTTGCGCGCACGGTTATTACACATATATCCGTTGAATAACGTGTTGCAGTAATATAGCACCGATTCAACGGATACGCCACGAATTGTGGCTCCTCACGATAAGGATTTGAATTACCGCATCCTCTATGAGGCCCACGACACTCCACTCAGTGGGTAGTCATCTCGGTCGTGAGGAGACGTACAGCTCTGTGAGTTGCCACTACTGGTGGCCCAAGCTGTACAAATGGACGAGCGCATATGTACGCACGTGTGAGACGTGTCAGAGTGTAAAACTCTTTACGAATGCGGTACCGCCGCTGGCCAGCTTACCGAGACCCTTCGGGTGTTGGCGTCCATGGGTATGGACTATGTGTTTGCCTGTTGAAGGACTCGGCGGGCAACATGGGTGTGGTTGTCTTTGTGGACCGTTTGAGCAAGATGGCTCATCTTGCAGTAGCGCCGGACACCATCGACGGTGTGAGTACAGCGACGCTGTTTGTCGATCGTTTCTTTCGACAACATGAACTCCCGGAGTGACCGGCGCTCCACTGGGAAGTTTTGGTCTACAGTTTTCAGGGTGCTGGGTCCCAAGTTGACTATGTTAACAGCAGACCATCCGCAGACCGATGGTCAAACTGACCGCGTGAATCGCGTCGTTGATGACGCTCTTCGCAGAGTCTGCGCTGAGACGCCGAAGCGCTGGAGCGCTATGTTGCCACTCGTAGCGTTTGCTCTGAACAATGCAGTGCATTCATTTACCGGATACACGCCGTTCTACGTGAACGGGTTAATTAACCCTCGCGTCTCTCTGGCACTGCCATCCCATGGATCAAGGCCTGGTGGGGGGAGGATTTGCCGAACGGCTAGCTGATGTCTGCCCCCTCACCGTGTGAAATGATGTCGGAGGCTTCCTGTCTCCCATACTGAGTGTCTTGTGACATGTTCGCGATGCGATGGCTAGCCAAGATATGCAGACAGAAAAGGAACTAGAAATGTTGAAAACATTGAGTTTCGAGACCTGGTTTAGTAAGTGCTAAAACATTTCCTACAAATGCAGTTTCTGCTGTTTTTAAGACGAAGCTTAGTCCACGGTTTATTGGGCTATCTAGGGTCGTGACAAAGCGAGGCTTTGCGTATACGCTGAACCTTCCGAGAAGGATGCGAACCCACTCGGAGTTTTATGCGGGCTTGCTTAAGCCGATCCGGGATCCGACGCAAGTGAACGCGGAAGCTTTGGCGCCGGGGCGGTGCCCAAAGGTGCTCGGCCACCCATAATTCGAGCCAGCAAATACGGCGTGCAACAAATTCCGTTTTTAAACGCACAAGGCGTTCAACCATCGCACGAAGTGACGTATTCGCCTGCTCGACGTCTAGGAGCCGCTCCGACAGAGCACGATAATCCTTAACGCGAGACAGTCGATGCACAAAGTGCTCCAAACTCTCGAGGATCGGCAAAGTGCCGATGAAGATGGACTTTGTCCTCCAACGCTTAAAGAGTTTCACGAGATGATCGGCCAAGTCGTCATCGTCCACCGCCGACTCTTCTCAATGAGATTGATGGCGTCCATTACCATGTGGAACGCCTTGTTGGTCGACGTCGTCGACGCGTTTTAACCCAATATTTTGTGAAGTGGCGGTGATACCCAGACTCCGAGAGCTCGTGGGAGTTTAAAGCGCTTCTTCGGCAAGAATGCCCAGACGTATAAGACGCTTATGATCAGAAGGCTCATGACACTTCGCGTCGTCGTGAGCACTGCGCTTCTCGGCAGTAGCCCGGGAAGCCGAAGGGCCATTAGCTGAGTTCAAGCTATGGCCCTGAACTGCTGTGGTCAATGGCTCACCAATGTGAGAAAGCACAGAGCTCGCGGGAGCGTTATAAATTGTTCCATATTTCGCAGGGCGACGATACGCAGGAAGTCGGCTTTGCGCCTTGAGTTTTGCAAATTCAAATTAGAGATGGCGCTTAACGCGCACTTCTTCTTCCTTGTGGCTTCGCTGTAAGGTAGACAGCGAAGAAGTTTTCGGTAGGTCGCAGAGCTTTCCGCTGATCAAGTGTAGCTTGTGCAGTGGCTGGGGGTCCGACTACGTAGACGCCTAACGATCGAGTGATCACGTCTTTCGCTTCAGTAGCGGGATTCACCGAGCGGAGGCCGTATTCCACACGAGGTTCTAGGATCGAACGTGGATACGAGCGCAGAAGAACCGCCCTGTGAGCAGCCTCCAATTGTGCTCATGTGCCTCGTTGAGGCGACTGGTAATAATACCACTTTCCCCGGAAGCCGAGAGGTCGGGGAACGGACATGGTTTCTGCGAGGTTTGAGCTGGACTCCCGTCGCGCCGTTGGTGTGCTTCACCTTCCTCGTCATTCAATGCAGGTAAAGAAATTGTCCGACTCGTAGTCGACTTCCTCCAACTCCTCATCGAGGAAATCCGCCGCCCGGGGTGGGTGCGGTGTGTTGCTCTCGGTCGTCGAGGGCCTGGGATGTGCTTCCCGTGAAGCCGCGGTCGTACTATCGGGAGGTGCACCCTGTGCAGAAGAAGGAGAAGAAGGGCCTTGCCCGCAGGCGCCCTTGCTCTGGGTGTTTTGTGTGTCGTAGACACAGTCAGCGGAGAGCGTTGCAAGTTATTTTTTAAAGAACGTTAAGGTGTCTCAGTCACGCGAGCCTCGTATGAGGCGACCATTATATGTAAATTGGGAACTTTCACAATTTTAAGATGGAGAGTGTAACAGGGTTACATGTGCACTTATAAATAAGGACAGGTCGCACAATCTCGTGCGACCCGACATAGGTGTGTATTACACAGTAACTGTAGTCACACAGTGGCGTCACTACATCGTAACAAGAAGCCACAACGTGACAGGATTGCCAGTAGTAAGGCATAATAATATATTAATTAGATTTTGCTATTTCAATGAGGTATTACTGAACTTATTTAGAGAATCTAGGGTTTTAGATATTGAACCCTCTGCCGCAACTTAATTAATTAAATACAGTTTCAATTCTGAGCAGAAGTGTTCGTTTGCCTTGGGAAGGTTAAAAGTACTTCAAGGTGGCAGATTGCGATCCGCTACACTCGTACTGGCTCATTGAAATAATGAGAGGTCGATGACCTAAGCTTAGCTTACTCTAAGCAAAGAGCTACGGCAGACCCGCTGCACTAGACACATCCAATCTAGTGCTAAACACCGTTGACAAATTTTGCCAACACTTTGCTGCAGAACACGGATTTATACACAATGGCCACCGGTAAACCATGTTGCCGAAAACATTTGCCGAGAAATAGCTTGACTATAACCCCGCCGGTTACGGTGTTGCAGACAGCAGCAGGATAAGTCATCTTGCACATTCTCCTGAATAACTGTATTTCCGAGTGTGTCCATTGAAGGACCAGCATAAAAACTTTAAGCCTATGAGACGCCAACACTCTTTTGAAAACGGCGGGCTGACCAAAGGTGCCGACGCATCTGGCAAGGGTGCAATCGTCGACATGTTTTCTCGTGCACTACAACCCCTTACCTACTTGTACATATTGGACAAGCAGTTCTTAGCGCTTTCTGATTCAAACGTTTGTTTTTTTTTCAAGGAGGGTACCCAACAGGTTAGTACAGTATTTGGATTTGACGTCCTCGTCATGAGATGCCGCCTAACGGGTAGGTAGAAATGTGATACAGCAAGCCTTGGGACAAGGAAAAAAATGCAAAATAGCAGTCATTCACATAAAAAGTTGACAATTGAGCTCTTAACCTCCTTGCTTCCAAAGCTTTAAACAGCTCAACCCATGTCACATCCTACTCATACGCTGTATGTATCGCCTCGTCAATGCGCGGTGTCATTACTGTGATATGAGACAGCTTATAGTCAAGGTGACGCGAAAGCACTTCCAACGCCTTGTTAAGCTGGTCAGGCTTACACCTTACCTATAAGGGAAACTTTGCAAGAGAAATAGAGGTCTGGCATTATCTGTAAATGTGTGACGACGACGGTGCTCTGCGCCACGATGCATTATCGGTATAGAACATAAATGGTCTAGAGCCATGCTGGTGTACACTGAACATTACAAGATCATACCGCATTGCAAGCGGCTCCGTGCCGTCATTGTTAGAACATTATCAACCAGTTCCGGGAGAAAGCGCGAATCCTAACGAGTTGCCTCGTGTTCAGTTCCTGGACGGCGCATTACCTTTGAAAATGCGCAATGCTTTATATTTGTGTCTTAAAGCACTACATCGTAATCACATCTAAACAATTAGTGTGAGAAGCTTGCTACAGAACAAAAACTGAATTGCTGACCTTAAGACGGATGTTCACGTTATAAAATAGCATGAAGTTCTCGGAGGTGGAATATGTGGTGTTAGATTTAACGTCAGCTTTATTTCTAAACAGTGCAAGATTTTGTAGCATAAGATAGTTTGCTCTTTAGTACAAGCGCCGTCGGTTTAAAGATAAATATTTCGCTACCAACGAGATGCCAGATTCGATTCCCGGACGGCGCATTTTTGATGCCGCCACCTTTGAGAATACGCAGTGTATTAAATTTATGTCAAATGCGACCACGCGTTCATGCCCATTCGCATTAGGTTGGCATAAAGTGGAGACTATGTAAAAGGCTGAAGAATCACAGACAACATTCAATGACCAATCCGGTCTCGATAAAGCCAAGCGCATGAAGCTCTTTCGTCTTGTCGAATGCCACCTTATACTGAAATCAACACCTTTTATGATATTATTTATGAAAATTGGAAACCGTCACCCCAATCACTCCACCGGCTTTAGCGAAAAACGATTCCAGTTCATCTTTAGGTAACTAAACGCCCAATTAGCAGCATTCTCTGGGGATTATGACATGCAGGCGCCAGTTTCGGTCTAAGCAACGATACACTCTGTTGGTCATGATGTATGACTATTTCATCAAGAGACCACCGCTTCCGCCCATCAAGTTTTGCTCAAATCGATCAGAAATATATTGTTTCACATTAACTTGAACGATCCCAAATTTTGTCCCAAGTTACCGCAGCTTCATTCCCTCGAAAAAAGCACTTCTACTCGTAGCAGATGTGAGTTCGTGACAAACGGAATTAAACGTGGCACCCAATGTTATCGACGCCAGTCAAATTTGCTCTCAAGACTTTCCTACTCTGAAGTTCAGTACCTTTAGCGCGTTTCTGTAATGGGCTACACCTATCCATTACATTAATGTACTATTTAAGTACCAGTAGCATGCATTGTGGAATTTATAGCAAAACAGATTACAGTATGGTGTCCACATGCATATGTGACAGCTAATGTCAAGTCACATATTTTCTGTGTGGTACGAAATGCTGGATCCTACTTGGAAGTTTGTACTGGTGACGAGACCGGCATGCCTCTGCTTCTTGAAGTGGGTGGTGTAACCCAGTCACTTCTACTGAATGTTTTCCACATTAGTTGAAGTTCAAGCTTCTCAAAGTTTAAACTCAGTCCATCCAAGATCTTGTATAAGTGCTAGCTGAGGTTGAACCTCAGTACCTCTTTGATTGTGAACAATATGTTCTTAAAACCCAAGGTTTTATATTGAGACCTCTTAAAGCCGTCGGGGTGTTGTCCTCGTGGTGTTCTGCACGTAGCTATAGAAACCATTAACTCATTTTAGATCTTTTGCAATGTCTTTTTTTAAGCCCTTAAGTCGTTATTCTTCCCTCCAAGTCGAGACTGTTCTTCTTCCTCCATTCGGAATTGCTTTTTCGTCGCACAAGCGTGCGTGTTGTGTTTGAGGGACAGTTGTAATTACGCCCTCTTACAGCAAATGATCATTTTGTCGGGTACATTGGCTGAAATTTTAATTCGGGTACAGTAGCTTCTGCACCCGACTTACTCCCTTACTTTTTGTTTTAAATTGAGCCGCAGGTTGCCCATCTTATCGTTTTTACCGTTCAGCTGTGTCATTGCTTCCTCCGGTTTATACCCATGAATCTCTGTCCCTAGGACCCGGCTCCCACCATAGGCACAAACTTCGAAATCCTATCCAGCGTACTAGGGAGCACATGAGAGGAGAAAAATCAGCTTAGCCGGGTCAAACTCCTCAGAAGCCAGAGATTGTGGCTGGGCGGCGCATACAACAACAAAAATTCATGTTGTTCCTGGATCAGTGGTGTAGCGGTATGGGCATGCATAAAATCACAGACATGCTTAAAGATCTTTTGGAAACATGAGAACGCAAGGTACCAAAACAGGTACGCCTGCTATTTTAGACAAGACCCGGTTAAGTATATGTTGTACATGAAGATGACGTACGATGCAACTGCAAATTCAGCGCAAAGAATCAGAAATACAAAGGAATCTCACTCTGGCTTATTCCGCGCAAAAAATCGACCACGGACGACGAGATTCACGCAAACGCTTTGTGGTTTCGATGAAATAGATTGGGCTTTTGAGGCAGCAGGGATAATTAAGGCGTCGTTAGATAGAGCGGAGCTTGAACGAACCCATGGTCCAGGGGTTGTCTTTGTAAGTATAGATTTACAGCTAGTCGTGACAGATGAAACAGCTTTGTGAATCGCTTCCGCTGTAACTATTTTCAACTACATGATACGGAGAGAGATCGCGCAAGGCGCCAGATTTTAGGTTTTGTTAAAGTGATCAGGCTTGGCTTCGAAATAAAAACATTGGTGGATAGTAAGACCACAGCGGATTAAGATATGACCTAGAACTGGCTATAAATGAACAAAACAAAGGTCTACCGAAACATCGTGATAAGAGCATATAGATTTGCGGATGTTTGACGTGACGAGAGCGTCGCAGGGCTGCGCGAGATTCCCACGTCCGTACGTTCTACAGGCCATTTTTTGGGGCTCCTTTCTTATCGCTTCTAACTGGTTTTTAGCTTTCGCGGGTATACATGGTTATAGAAGATATACAGTTTCGGGTGAAGAGGCGAAAGTGCATATTGCAATTTCGACACTGTTGCGTCAGATACAGTAACACATCCCGTTCGTGTGGTAGGACTAGCATTAATGATTGTGCGGAGCGAAAAAAAGATTGTCTATTCATTATTGAAACTTCATAGCAATTTCTAAGACCAGGAAAGTACTAAAATTCGAAAAACCCGATAAGCTTTCCAATTTGATACCTAGTATAGAGGTTCATCCATCAGTTCTGCTGTTCAGGATGCTTGCAGGGTTCGGCCACCAAAAATATGCGCTACACGTTTCGTGTAAGGAGTTAGGTTGCTTCTTTTTCGAGAGATATGAGCGAATGCCGTACAAAGATTCTATCTCAATACGGTAGCGTGTGGTGCACGACATTTAGTGTTTTTCAGTCGGCTTTGCATTGAGGCGGCTACCTATATGCGCAGTACTGCGTAGGCGAAATTTTTAGTGCGAACAAGTACATGTGCGCAGATTGCGAAGCATCAAAAGACAAGGAGTCAAAAAGGAGTGTTGTTCGTTCATTGTTGACATAGTAGACGTAATGTTGCTCAAGTAACACTCATCCCGACCAACGTTTCTTAGTTAAAGTAGGCAAACGAGTAATTCTACCAGCTTATCACTACTTCAGATGTACAAATCATGCCAAGATTTCATGGCGATTGCACAGG